TGTGTGTGTGTGTGTGTGTGTGTGTGTGTGTGTGTGTGTGTGTGTGTGTGTGTGTGTGTGGGTGTGGGTGGCTCGGTTTACAGAAAGTGTAGTCCAATGTGTTTCACGGTTGCCTGCCTAGATAAAGGATGTGTGCTGGTGAGCCTGGGTTGTGTCATAGCTGCCTAAAATGTAATGATGAGTGTTCAGAATGCTAACTTCATGTGTTTCAAGCGCGGCTTGTGAGAACTTCATGTTCAAGTGTGCGTATAGCCGAGTGAATGGGGTGTAGGGGACCTTATGCCAATCCATTTAAACTGCGCTCTTGTGTAACTGCATGCAGATTCGCTGCCTTCTGCACCCCTCTTCTGCCTTTTCTCTCTCTTTATTGAGAAAACACAAACACACACACACTTTATGCTGCGAGAAGTGCTGGCTATGAAAAGAACAGTTTGATGAGGAAAATTTTAACTGATATGGAAGCATCAGTCATACTCCAGCTGGGAGCCTGCGAGCTGTAACACAAGCCAAATGAAACCAAATGCACTGCTGTTTATTTAGCCAATTGTACGCTCACTAATGTGATGTAATGTGAAGTTTTTGGACAAAGTCTTGAAATACTTGATTATGCCTATGAGGACGACTGCATGGGATTAATGGACCGATGACTTGCGCCACTGTATTTGTATTGTACTCAGTAGTGCCGTTTTAACATTGTCTTCATATTATTAAGTTTATACAGCTGTGTGTGCGTGTTTTTGGAGGCTACGTTCTCATATGCTTTTCTCTGGCTCTTTCAGACAATCCCAGCCAAGTCTCCAGAGTTCTAGTTGCAATAGAGACCTTAGATCTGAATGACAATGCACCTGAGCTGGACAGGCAGTACAACACAGCCATGTGTGACTCCTCCTCCATCGGACAGGTCAGTATGTGTTTAAACTACTTGAGGTCTTTATTTCCATTCCATTCCAGTGTATATAAAATGTTCATTTTAAAGACATGGAAAGACACTAAAACGCATGTTAAGGAAACAAGCCGGGTTAATACTGGAACTACATTCTGGCACTACACATTTCTCAGTTTAGGTACTTGGACTGCCAGCAGTGCTAAAGACTGTAATTTTTCAAGAAGATGTGAAAAGACTTTAAGTGATGACTACACAGCAGCAGCAGCAGCTGTGTTGTCTTTGTGTCTACATGTGTGGCACTCGTGGTTTTTCGAGGTGTCAGAGCCCAACACACAATCACTGCAGTTGCATGGGTAAAAGCTTACAAATAGAGTGGCAGGGGTATAACGCAATCAGAATGTAAAAGCCAGAGTAGACATCTGGACTGACTGAAAAAGAAGCTGTTCTGTCAGACATGCAAAATGCACGACTGAAAACGCTTTTTAGACACACTGCTAATACTATAGTCTCACATGTTTCAGTCAAATTCGACATATCGTTGGTTTGAATAAAGTCACATAACTGATCACATGGTTACAGTCACTAATCAGTGGCCATTGGTTTGTGGCCAAACTGCTAGCGTTATTAACCCTAAGAAGTTAACATTTTCAGCATATTCATTGTTTTCACCTTTTTATTTTATATTAAGATAAGATAAGACTGACTTTTTTATGTATACATATGAGCAGAAGCTTCAAAACCAGTTTTATCTGAAGCCTGAGAAGCTGTGGCTGGATGAACTTTAATCATCCAAAAATCAAACAATATTGATAATCAATGTAATAATTAATAATAATTGTAAAATAATAAATAATGCTTACTTTACATACATATTTTAGAAGTTACAGTTTTTATGTTTGCATTCAAAGCCCCAAATTTCATACCATAAACACAAAACCTGGTTAGTTAGCTTCCCATTAAATAACTATCTTGACAATGTGTCACTTAGCTCGATTGCTACACTATTTCAGTAAATGTTAATGTTACCTCTTCTTTATATTGGCTGAGCCATACAGCCCACCACACGCCACATTTTGCACTAATTATACACATATTCCTAATAAATTAGTGTTACTATGTCATATGCAAAACATATGCAAACTTTGTATTTAATGTTCATGTACAGTCATATAATTACAACACAAACAGTCGACGAGTATTCAGCTTGGAGCATATAGAGTGTGGCAGAACAAAGCTGTTTCCCTTCAGATATGGCCACATGCAGCTACAGCATACTCATTCACCATGGAGCCAGGTGAATCCTCCATGGCCTGTTATCAGAACGCAGCAGTTATTTGCATTGTAATTAAACTCGAGCCTCCTCTCAGGCTGCCTCCCTCCTTCCTGCTTTATTTGTGTTCTTGTCTGTTTCTCTGCATCATGTTTTTCTCACTCGATCCTATCTCAATTATAGAAATCATCCCTTTGCTCTTCAGCCTCCCCTTGGAAACCCTGCTTAGCTCTCCTTTCTTTGCCTCCATATTCCGTTTTCCATGCTGGCTCTGTCACTATCATTTTGGTGTCGTGGCCCATCTGTTGTGTGTGTTTTGTTTTTTTTTTGGTTTTTTTTGTTTCCACTGGTGCTTTCATTGCTCTGCTCATGCCTTTGTTGTGTCACCACGAAATCTGTGATTCTATGGCAACGACGTTGATTTGTTTTTGCCTGTGATGTTCATGTTTGTGCATGCTGCAATTTGAGTGAGCGGCACGCAGTTCATAAAAGAAAGGCTATGATGTCTTCCCAGTGTGTTTGGGATAGTATATGCACATCTCTGTATGACACGCCATTAGGCAAAGCCTGTTTGAATATTCACCCACAGCATCGGATAACATAATGCAACTGTTCTTAGCAAATCTTCTCAAGGCCTACAGACATCGACTAACTCAAAGAGCACGCTGCACCCTTCATCCCCGCATTGAGTCTAGTATCGAGCACTCGAAAGCGTTCCTGAAAGAGCGCCCTGCATAATGACGAACAGAGAGTTTCATTAAAAAGAAATTACCCATCAGCTCAGTCTGCGGGAGATTTCTTTAAGATTAATTTAGTTAAGATTGCCAATGAGGACTTGCGTAGATGCCTTTACGACACCGAAAGCTGCACGGCACTGTATTTACAAAAAAGGGGATTCGCGCACACACACACACACACACACACACACACACACACACACACACACACACACACACACACACACACACACGGTTATATTTTTGGTGTGAGTATCAAACACAGTTCACTTATGTCACTATGCTAATTGTTTGACTTGTTTTCATTCTGCCAGTGTCGGCTAATGTTTTTTTGTTTATGTAGCTAAAAGCTCTCTCTGTGTAAGTGTTTTTTCTTCCTCCTTTTCTGTTCTCTCTCTATGCTTTTCCTCAAAACACACAAACACACGCGCACTCACACACATTCATTCACGCCCTCCCCTCACCCGGTCTCCCTTGCTCTCTATCTCTGTGTTTCAGGTGGTGCAGGTGTTGCGGGCGATTGATAGAGATGAGGGTGGGAATGACAGCACCGTGTATTTCAGCATCCCTCCAGAGTCCAGCGCTGCCCTCAACTTCAGCGTCAGGGACAGCGGTGGTAGGCACTCAATCTTTCCTTCTCTGTGTAGTTCTCTTAATTCTTGTTTGTCTGCTCCTCCCTTGGCAGATAGACTGTTTCTCCCCCCACTTTTCTAAGGCCCTTAATCCCACATATATATTTTTTTCTGCCTTTCTCTTCCCATCTTCATCTTTCCTTCTATTCTCTCTTTCCCGTTCCTCTCAAAACCACTCCCTCTCTGAGTCGCCTTCCCTTTTTCTGTCCCTCCCTCTGTCTCCTACCATCCATCTCCCATGTCTGGTGGCCCCATTGTTTTGCTTTGTTATCCTCCCCTCTTTTGTTTCTTCCCTCTTGTTGTATCCTCTACATCCATCTTCTTCCCCACAACCATGTAAACTTAGTATTTCCACTGAGAAGCTTCTGAAGAAATCAAAGCTGCTTCGTTTAATTAGCGTCAACTGAATCTAATTTAGCTACTTGTTTGTTTTCTGTGCATTTTTCCCCCTGAACTCTTTGTGTCCTCGCTCTTTGTTTTGCACAATTACACACGTATAGTCCTTTAATATCATGCAAACATAAATTTGATATGACTATTTTAATTCAGGGATGCAATGTGCTGCCGGTTCTGTGTAACTGTTCACATCAAGCTGTGTATGTGTGGGGATATTTTTGCATCCTTGAGCAAATATGTAGTCTCCTAAAATTGGATCCACAAGAATTTTGTTGTCTTAGCTCACATTTACATTTCTCTACACAAAAACAAGATAATTGGCTCACAAATGCATTTTTTTGCAATTATGTGTCACCTGTGGAGTTTTCGTGTAAACACATACTTTGAGTCAGTGCAAAAACACAGTGTTTGCTTCCTTGAAGCCTTAACGGCGTGCTGGATAAAAGATCAAACATTTGCAAAAGTGACATTTTTCAATATTTTGAAGAGTGCAGGCCTGATTACATCAGCTGGCATTCTTTTTTCTTTTCATGTCTTTGCTTCTGCATTGCTACATTTTTTTCCTTTGACACAATAACTGTTGTGGAACAGCATGAAATCGGTGAAGCTCTTCAGTTGGTATGTGCTGCACAGTTGCAGTTGAGGACAGTAATGCAAATCAAAACATTGCACCACTAGCGGATAAAAACTCCACAGAATACTTTCATGTGTGCTTATGCATTCTGCACACAGCTCATCTCTCTCCACTTGAAAGTTTGATTTGTGCGTCATATTAGCTAAAGATGTCAGTAGCATATTGAAGTGTATAATATAGTATTCCATGTGCACGCCTTGGACACATGAACATGTGTACTAGTTGTAGGTATACCTGTTCAAGTGCTCATTAACACTCATGTATTCTGATCAGCCACTCACATGACATTCAGTGTTGACATGAAATTCAAACCGAGTGTCAAAATGGGGAAAAAAGGTGATTTAAGTAACTTTGAATGCAGCTGAGAATTCTGATGTACTGAAATAATGCAACAAAATCTGAATCCCCCCACCTGAAAAAGAGAAAATAGTGATGGGTTGCTTTGTTGAGGCCTTAGATGAAAGGCCAGACTCCTTCAAGATGATTGGAAAGCAACAGTAACTCCCAAGCACTGTTAAAACCAAGGTATGCAGAAGAGCGTCTCTGAATGCACAACACGGTCAGCCTTGAAGCAAATGGGCTACCACACCAACCCAGGTGCCTCTCCTGTCAGCTAAGAACAAGAAACTGAGACTACAGCTTTCACAGACTCTGCAAAATTGGGCAATAAAAGATTAAAAAGAAAACTTTGCTTAGCGTGATGAGTCTCAAGTCTTTTGATTAGCCTTGTCTTTCTTGCTTTGTGGTAGATCTTTGTTCTGTTTTCACTGAGATATTTGAATGCTAATCAATAAAAAATCAAATCAAATCAAGTTCTGCTGCAAAATCCAGGTAGTCGGGTAAAAATTTGGCGTAAACAACATGAAAGTCACCAAATCTAAATCAAAAAGAGCACTTCTGGGATGCGATGGAACAGGAGATTCACATCGTGGGTGCAGCTGACAAATGTGCAGCAGCTGTTTGCTGCTGTCATTTTAATATGGAACAAAATCTCGGTGGAAATGCTTCCAGCACCTCGTTGAATCTATGCCATGAAGAATAAAGGCAGTTCTGGAGGGAAAAAGTAGCATGATGTAACTAATCGAGTGGTCTGTGTGTGTAGCTTGGCAACAAATTTTCCAGCCTTGACTTCATCAGTAAACACAATATGGCAAATACGGGGAATTTGAAAACATCCAACTGAAAATCCAGCAAACACAGGATAACATTTACTCTCATTTTAAGTCATAGTACTTTGTTTTGTTCTCCATTAATTCTGACCAAAAAAACTGCATTTTAGCTGCAAAATGCTTTGATTGTCTACTAAGTTAGCTGTATTAGCTAAAATATGCTAAATATAGAACTTAAGACAGGGGTGGGGGAACTTCAGGACTCATGGGTCCTGCAGGTCTTAGATGCGTCCTTGATCCAACACAGCTGATTTAAAAGGCTAAATTACCTCCTCAACATGTCTTGAAGTTCTCCAGAGGCCTGGTATGGGTGATATCTAAAACCTGCAGGACACCGGCCCTTGAGGCCTGGAGTTCCCCACCCCTCCCAGATGAAGATATGTGCTTACATTCGTCAGCAGCTGAAGATCCGACTACTCTTTGACTAATTTTACTACCAAACTGTTGACCAAACTCCCAACTCTTCCTAAACCAGACAAAACCAAGTTAACTCGCCAGATCATGAATGAGTATTATAAACTCAGTGACATGTGAAATCAAAGACCTCTTTGATGTGTCATCCAACAGTAGAACAGAGAGACAATAAGATCATCCTCAGCTCCCGTGTGGACAGCTTGTCTGACAAAATGCTACATTACTTTCTTTGTTTAAAAAGACAATGATTTGATCTATCTTTTGGATCGCTGAAGATCTTTTTGATAATCGCGTTTGTCATGTTTTCATTCCCAGTGCCATTCATGCTAATGAAAACCTGCTTTCGTGTCAGCGGCTATATTTTTGTGGCCTTGTGTGTGTAATTCTAAAAACGTCTCCCACACAGATCCTCCGCAGTTCTTTTTCTCAAAAGTGAGAGTCAGATCAATACAGGCCGTTACCTCTTTTGTTATTGCTGCTCTCTGTCCTTTTAAATTGCTGTATGTGAGCCTCTCATCACTGATGTCCATTACAACATCTTTAAGAAAAAAAAAACGGGCTTGTGATGTATTCCTTTCATACAAGTGTGTTCTAAAAGTCAGTGCTTTGGATGTACAGGCTTTCTTCTGTACATACTTTGTTGTGTCATTAACCAGGACAAGCGTGGGAGTCTTTGAAAAGGATCATACAGATGGATCTAATGGCACCACATTATTCAAACAATAATTTTAAACGTGAAAGTATATTAGAATTTATGCTTAAGTTTTACAGCCTATCTGGAGCCATAAATCATGAAGCGTCTGGCTGCGGCAGCGAAAAATATACTGTCTGCCCAATTTGTAACACTCTAGTAGATTCATCCTGTAAAATTAGTATCACTGTTATTCTGCTGTGGAACGCTGTAGCTCAAATTAGAAGGGAAGTGAACGAAAATAGTAAAAATAAAAGAGAGGCTAAATATTTTTTCCTGCTCAATTCCTTTGTGGTACAAACCCGTCACCAGCTGACTGCAGTCGCACATTTGCAAACATGAGGACATTCATTTCTGGGCATAATTTCCAAATTGGAACGTCCTGCCTCCATTCTGCAAACAACACTGTAGCATGCGGTTAACAGTGGACTCAAAGTTTCTTCCTATCTGTCAACTCTCCTTCAGGCCCCACAGCCAGCTTGGTGTTGCTGTCCCAGATCCAGCCACTGTCCCGTTCCTCATCCTCCACCTTGACCCTCTACGTGCCGCTCGTCCTGAGGGATGGGACGTCTGGCCTCACCAGCACTGGGACGGTCACTGTGTCCGTCTGTCCCTGCCTGAAAGGAGGGGCACGAGCTGGGGAGAAAGACAAGGACAAACAGACCGAGGGCGAATGGGACTGGGAGAAAGAAGCGGTGTGTCTTCCTCAGCAGTCCACACTGCCCTCCCCTGGGCTCAGTACAGCTGCCTTGCTGGCTATCCTGGCTTGTGTTGCTACATTACTGGGTAAATACTTAATAGCTCATAAAGCTTGAGAGAGATTAAATCTGGGCTTGGCTTAAGATAATGCCAAAAGCAAAAGTAAAATGGTGAAAGGCCCTTGTTTATATAACTTACATGATGGCTTTTATAACAGCACTTAGTGTTATGTACATTATGATATAATATGAAGTTATATCATAAATATTTACTCCCTAGAAATGCATTTAATGCCATTCTACAAATAGAAAGTTGAGTAAATAGCGTTTAGGGCTTGTTTACCTTCAACTACATCCCTGGATGCTTAATCTGCATATGAAAATAATGAAAGCAGCAGCGTAAATATTTCTCTTAGTCACAGCTGCTCGATACAGGTTTACTTTTCCTCGCAATTTTGGTCCAGTTATTTCCCTTGGCAAGGTCAGCTCTAATCACAGCTAAAATAACAATTTTGAGTGATTATCTGGGCCCTTCGGTTTTTGATAGCAGCATAATAAAATGTCACAGCCACCTTTGCAGAAACTCAAATGCTCAATTGGATAATGCCTAGTTGCTGAGGAGACTGGCTGATAGCCAGCATCATTGTCATTTCTATTGAGTCTGTTGAAATCACTCGTGCCTTGTTGATAAAGGCATTATCATTCTGGAAGGGGCCAGTTCAATCAAGTGGGAGACGCGACATGGCGTGAAGGTGATCGTGCTCAGTGGATTTAGTGGAGTTAAGAATTTAGTTCGCTAAGTGATAATGGCATGATCGTGGGCGGGAGTATAATTCTGCTTTTTCTATTTCTAAACACTATAATAACAGGGCCTTCCACAGAATGCCAAACGTCCTTAAAGAACCTCTGTCATCATCTCCATCAGTTATTAAAAAGGAGCGGTGTTTACACGAGGTAGCCATTGAGCCATTTGGCAACTTTGCCCTGTGGATAGAGGCTGTCTTTAACAGATAAATATACACACACCACGCTATAAAGGTTATTCCTCAAACTGTTATAAAAGGTTAGAGTTTTCCCACTCCATTTAGGGATCATTGAATTAGTTCCATAGAAATCAAATAATGTGGCCTCCAACTATATTAAGGCTGTAGATTTACTTACCACGGCAGCTTAACCTCCTGCGATACAGCCGTATGGAAACACAAGCACATTAGTGTTTGTTAAATCAAATCATACACTGCAAATATAAATAAGCACCCGAGCAGATTCAGCACGGTTTGGATTTCTATAAATACCAAAGCAGTTTGTCCAAATGATAGGGAGAGCTGTCTAAGAGCGAGTGAGTGGAATATATTAAGAAAAAAATATGGGCAATGTCAGTCGATCAACTAACTAGCCTTCTAGTAACCTGTGAGGGTCCAAATTCAGAGAGTTGATCAACTTGTCCACTCAGAAATTCTATATTGGAGTGGAAAAAAAATTGCATCCTTGAAATGTACAAATGAACTGGAAAGCCAATAATGAGAGAAATTATTGGTAAAGGTGTCACTTTCCACAGGTGTACCAGCAGCAACTTTAACCGGATGCTCAATTCTTCTTGTCCTTGATTTCTGACTGGGGTCTTATTTGGATCGGGTGCCTTCCTGAATATTTATGCACTTTTTTTTAAATTTACTTTTCAGCTTGGTTCTCATTTTCTCCCTATTTGCATCCAGAAAGTTCAGCACATGCAAGAATAGGATTTCCCCCACTTAATAAGCATACTAAAGCTATTATCATAGGTGTCCTGAATCTGTTTTTCTACTAACTCGATCCTAGTGCAGGAACCTAATCTAGACCTGCGTCTGTGCCTTTCCCCTGGAAAATTGAAATGGAAAAAAAAAAAAAGCCACTGTTCCCAGAGTTTGATGTCAGTGGGTATGGGAAGGCTGATTCTACTGCCCAATGCTAATGTTGTGTTTGCAAACCTGTTAAAAGTCACAAAGGCATCATTTGGTTCGTTGCCACAGTCCAGGGTGAAATTTAGCTCTCGATATTGGGAATATGCAATAAGAGTCATGGAGTCATGGGACAATAAAGCATCCATTTGGCTGGCTGGAGCTCAAAGTCAATTACCTAGTGGAGGCATGCAGTCTGCTGATATGATATACCAGCCCTCTAACCCAAGGACTCTCTGTATTCGTTTTGTCTCTGTGTGTTTCACCTCTTTGTCTGCTTGAGTTTTTCTCCCTTGCTCACACACACACATCTCTTCCTCCTTTCCTTTATTTCCCCTGTGACTTCTGCCCCCCCGTCTCCCTTGTTCATCACTCTTTTTCCAATTTCTCTCCTATGCCTCAATATCCGTTATTCCCGTTGCCACCCCTCGGCAGCGGTGAGTGCCCTGTCATTGTCGCTGCGGCGTCAGAAGCGCGACTCGCTGTCACCGCTGGAGGAGGACGACGTACGCGAGAACATCATAACGTATGACGACGAGGGCGGAGGCGAGGCCGACACAGCTGCCTTCGACATTGCCGCCCTGCAGAGTGCCCCGCACAGCTCGCGCTCACGCGGCTATCGCACGCTGGACAGCAGGAACGTGTAAGCAGGCGGAGGGGTGTGTGGGAGGGTTTGTTTGCATGTGGTGATGCATATATATATAAATGGGTCTGTTTTTAATTTAATCAAACCATCACAGCGGACCTTTCATTACATGCTGAAAAGAAAATATTATTTACGCCTTCAGAGTGAAACCATTCGTCGCAGTCCAGCTCTTAACTGATCCACTTAAGTAACTGTTTAAGCCACAACTCCCAGGTCATAATCAGCCACCAATCAAAACACTCAAACAGAAGGCTATCAAGCCTGGCAGTCCTAGGAGGCCACTTTGTTGTGCTCATTTTGCTAAAACTCATTTATGTTCTGCTACATCAGAGAGTTGTTTGCACCCACTTTGATGTTCCTGTGAAACATTGTTATTGCCTTTGGACTAATAATTAGCTCCCGGATTCATGCAAGCCATATGGAGAGGCCATAAACAAGTACAAAGGCTGCTTTTAGTTGATCGAAAATTGCTTCTCACAGTTTTTGGAGGTGGACACAGCAACATGAAAAACTGTCTAAATCTAATGCAATCCAGTGCAATATTCCTGCAATATTAACTACCTCTGTGAGACTTTTAATTTCTAATTTCTGTTGGCGCCATGTAACAAAGGAGCGCATAGTTGAGTCGAGCGCTGCTGTAGCTTGTTCTTCTTGGAGTGAACTGTAAGATTTGGAGCGTTCATTATGAAAGAAACGTTGTATTAAAACAGAGGTTATTTTGGCCCTAGCTGCACTGGATCACTTTTTTTTTTCTTTTGAAATTCCATCCATGGAATCACAAGTTTTCAGTCCAAACAAAATCACACAGTACACCCTTCATATTTCTCACCTGGTTATTTTTTCCCACCCCAAGGTGGACAAATGTCTCAGCAGAATATCTTGCATTGTGAATATAGAGTGCAACACAAAACCACAAGTCATGGTTTAAAAGAAAAACCTGTTTAAAAAATGACCAAAGATATTTCCTGAGCAGCAAGCAGTATTCAAAAACAGGCATAACATGTTCAGATTTAGCCCAATCATATGCCCTTTTTTTGTCTTGCAGTCGTTACTCACATCGTGCTCAAGACAAATCTCGCACTTATAGCTGGGCTCAGAATCCAGGTGTGGATCACAACTACTCAGGACCAGCAGGACCCCTTTACGGTCGTCTCTGCTACAGCAGTCACACGTTACCCATTCTCCGTCGCGCCCCAGGAGGAACGTTCGAGCCAGGCTTGGCTGAGCTGGCGTACCGCTTTCCTGGAGGCCAGCCAGACCATTCCCTGGTTATCCAGAACCAAGGGGCCGTGGTCGGGCCGATGGAGTCTGGGGCGGTGTACATAGCTCCAACGGATCTCAGCACAGGAAGTCGAACGGGGAGTCGGACGGAAAGCCGCGACGGGACCGCACCCCAGAGCGGGGTGAGCACGTCCGATGGAGGGACACCGAGAACCAGCGACAGCCACGACAGAGGAGGAGGAACAGGAACCGCAAGCAACTGTACAGAAGGGAGCAGTGAGGACAAAGTTAACCTCAGTCAAAATGTGGACTGGGTAAGGATGACAGTGAGCTTCACACTAAACGCATGCTAAACACACATGAGCTTAAATAAATGTGCAAGAGAAACGGAGAGACGATGAAGGACACTAGGGTCTCAAACATAATGCCACTATTTAGCAGTGATGCCCAGAGAACCCAAGATTCCTGTTTGGTAGGATTTTGATGTCCTTCCATCTACATCATTCAAATGCACACTTGCATATTTGTGTTGAATGCAGCACAGGAACTCATTCTGCAACACAGCTTAAAACATAGATTGATGGGGGGCTAAATATTTCAATAAGATGTAAAAAGCGGTAGCCGTTGCCGTGAATCGTTAATTATAACGGAATAAATTAGTCAATTAGCAGTAGATGGCCACATTGAAGACATCATTAAAGCTGAATCAATGACTTAATTATTCAATTAAATACGCAAACGAAAACGTGAGAAAGTCATTAAGCAAATATAAAATCATTATAAGGTTTTGAAATCAAACTAATATACTGAACTACTGCAGTGATTAAAGCACTGCCACACTAGTCTCTGTACAGTCGCAGAAATGTCCTGGACGTTGTTGGGGGAGGATGACAATAAAGACATTATCAACACATCATAGCCTGCTTTATTCTTACTTTTTGTTCTTATGCTTTTATTTATTAGGGCCATGGCACGGCTCCTTGGCCCTAGCTTTATTTAATTTTCAAATATTTTATCTCTCTATCTCTTCCCTTTCCATCTCCCTGTCACAGTGCAGTGTTAGCTCATTCTAGTGATCAATTAATGTCTATGTCTTCTTCCAACTCTGCTTTCCCTCCGCTCTCCTCTGCTCACTGTCTGTCTGTCTGTCTCTCCTTCACGTGAATCACTTTTTATCATCATCTCCTGTTTTTTTCCTTCACGTGGGCAATATGTCATCACTTTTCCTTATCTTTCTACGTTTAATATACCTGTTATTAAATTTCCCCTTCCTCCTTGGGCAAATTGTCTCATCCCATTTTATGTTACTGTAACCAAACCTAACACCCAACCCCAGCCCCGAACTGAAACCACTCGTGCTCGCCTACATTCCCTCCAGGTGCAGTCGGAGACATTGCCCAGGGAGCACAACCTTGTCATGACCCGATCCGGCTCCCTCATTGGTCAGGGTCACGGCGTAGGAGGCTGGGTGTGTGACTCGGCTACCCTCCCCATGGCAGGACGCAGGGCCTCTCGTACCGGCATGTCCCCCAAACGCACATGTGGCAGTCTGGCTGACTCTGACTCTGGTGGAGGAGGAGGAGGAGGAGGAGGGGGGAGTGGAGGTGGAGGTGGAAATGGAAATGGGACCACCTCCACTGATGGACAACAACAACCACCTGCCAGTGGACGCAACTATGCCACTGTCCTGCAGGGGGAAGTATCTGGGCAGAGGGACTACGCTGGCACTCTGGGGAGAGGAGGACTGGAGATGGGAAGCAACTTTGTGGTGGCAAGGCCAGACAGAGAAAGTGGAGGAGTATCACTGACCGGGACTCCATCTGTCTACCCAGAAGCACCTGGCTTTATTGGGGACTGGCGCGATCGAGTAGGTATGGGAGGGTATGTTTTGGGCAGGAGGGATATGACCCCTCAGCTTTTGCCCTTCCCCGGGCAGCCTCGGGCAACATATGGCAGTGTGATGGGCTTTGGGGCCAACTGGGTTCCAGGAATGGAGGCAGCCAGAGGGGGACCAGGGCACGGGGGTCCCTCCTTGGCACTGCGAGTGGGTGAGTTCCTACGGCTGCGCCTTGCCCAGGTCACCTTTGATCCCTCACAGCCGCCATACGACTCTGTGCAGGTGTATGGGCTGGAGGGAACAGGGTCCAGGGCTGGATCCCTCAGCTCACTGGAGAGCGAAGGGGAGAAGGATTCAGAGAAGGAGGATTGGGGGGCAGGGCTGGAAGAGTGGGGTCCCCAATTCCAGAAATTAGCCCAGCTCTTCAAAGACAGGGAGAAAGAGAGGGAAGATAAGGAAAAGGTTGACGAGGGTGCCAAAAAAGAGAAAGAAATGAATGAGGAGCCTGAGAAGAAAGTGAAAAAAGATGGAGTGCGGGCTGGAGAAGAGGGGAAAGATTGAGGAAGGATATAAATGAAACAAATAGGGGCAAAAGGGGGTAAGAGAGGAAGGGGAGGAAAAGAAGGATGATGAAAAGGCAACTTGAGCTCGAATAATGTGAAGAGAAGTTAAAGGGGAGAAAGATGAAGAGGCAAAGTAATAAAAAGAGACAGAGAAAAATGAGCCTAGGGAGGATGGAGAATGCGAGGGCAGGGGAGGGAGTGATTGATGTAATTTATAGCAATAAGTGTTGAAACGCTGATATGGTTGAGCACAGATACTGAGACAATGCAGAGCCTGCTTCTGCTCGGGGCAGCAACAATTTGTTAAACGCTTTGGACAGAGAAAAACAACTCAAACATCCAAGACTCGATTAAATTCAGCTCTCACGTATGGAATGAGAAACAGCAGGAGGCGAGAAGGAAGACGTCTGGTGCGCCGATCTGATCCCAGTGTCTGCGTGTTTGTGTGCGAGAAAAGTCAGTGAAAAGTGCGTGAGAACACGTGCGCAACCGAGCGCGTGCCGTACGCGTGCATATTTAACAGAGATGGAGCAAAAGAGAGTGGCAGGGGGAAATCGAAATACCCAGAGACAATTTTCGAGATGAGACTGATGACTAATGCTGCGTAATGCCGCAACATTAGCTTTCAGGACGACGAGGCAGGGAAAAACACTTAACAACGAAGTTTAGAAAGTAGGATAAGACACAGGGGAGGGGGGAGAAAGTGATGTTTGACTATAAAGGGAATGGGCGGCAAGGATGTATAGAGAGAGAAATGGTCTTGGAAGTGAGATGATTGTACAGAAACTGTTGCTTTTTATTCCATCTGCAGTGGCAGAAAAAGTGAATTATTCAGCTTGCTACTCCATTCCAAATGAAAATGATGAATCATTTAAATCCTGCAAAAGATTCTTCCTCCTCTCAGCCCACGAGGAAAAACAGACATTGTGAAAAATTTAAATGGTTTAGGGATATGATCCCCCCCCCCGACCCTCTCAGTTCTTCGCCCCCCCTCCCATCCCCCCCAGCTATTTTGTAGTTGAGTGTTGGTATGTTTACAAAGATTCACACACAAACATGCGGCGACACAAAAGAACTGATTAACACCACAAGGCTTTGATTGTACTACAGTAAATTACATAATCCATGAGTATTCTGAGGACTCTGTTATTGATGGCATAAATGTGTCTTTTTTATGAAAGAAGTCTGCTTTTTTCTAATTTGCCCACCCCACTTCCCCAGTCTCACATGCATGATTTTACAACAACAACAATAAAAAAAAAAACTCCACAAAATCAGTTTCCACTCCAAACGCTTGTACGGCCCAATGGAACATTTCCACAGATCTCTAATGAAATTGTAGTGAAACACAACCACAGAGACAGGCTTTTTCGTTTTCATTTTATTTCTTGTTAAAAGGTCAGGATGCAAATGAGCTGGAGATTTCAGCTGGAATGCACTTTTATACTGTGTGATGTTCAATAATAGATAACGAATCATGTCGAAAATTACAGTTCTTTTATAAGATGTCAGCTAAACGAAGATATCATGTTTGACTGTATGTAAAAAAAAAAAAACATTTGTAAATACCACTAAGTATTACTGCTAAAAGAGAGTATATAAAATTTAAAATGTGTAAAAAAAAATAAAATAAAAAATGTCTAGAACAGAACTTAGATGTTGAAAATGGAGCACTGTTGGGATTACCTGTATGTACTGTAGATTAGAAATGGATTAACTGCGCTGGACTGCCTCCTGGACTCAAAATAACACCATGTATTCAACATCTGTGTTTGGGTTTGCTGTGTGCTAGCTCTTTGTCTGAGATGGACAAGCCAAGGATTCAATTATACATGTGGCCTCTGGCAGAAGTTTGTTGTGCAAAATATTAGTTACAGGAAGCCTGTGAGCTAACCTGTGCCAGTGAAGATCCATTTGATGAAAATCCAGTGAAGTGAGGAGAAATCCCCCTAATGGGTATACAAAACAAAATAAAAAAAAGTCAGTGTTCCCTAAAATCTGAATTAATAGCCTGCAAAAGTGGAATAATCTAGAATTTATAATAAATTTTACACTGCCTGAGAGATGTGGAGGTTTTATAGATAGTTGCTTCTCTTGAAAAATATGACAAACACTACATTAAGAAAAAGTGTCTTGTGTGCATTTCAGGCAATCCAATTCAAATGCCAAATTACTGATGCATTATGGTCTACATAAGCAAATTTTCTTGCGTGAAAGAACAACTTAGCTCTATAATGTATTTATTGCTACGGTGGCCCTGAGAGGTCAGATGTGCTGCAACTTAAGGAAACACCAGCAAGTAGAAAAACTCTACAAAAATTCACAAATGACAAGAAAAGTAAAAAAAACCCAAACCCCCCAGAAAAAAACAAGTGTTTTTGGGGCGACAGCAACGTAACGAAACAGCTGCTGATGAAGTAAGACACGTTTAAAAGAAGCAGAAGATTCACATAATACCGTAGATTCAGGTTTGCTAGTAGCCGTTTACTGTTAGCCTGTCACGTTAGCTGTTCTGTCATGATATTGTCTCCCCAAAAACACTGACATTGTCTTTTGTGAGTTACGTCTTTTTATTTTGGAGGTTTTTTTAATTTCTTAACCTTTCATAATGTTTTTTAAATTTCTGTTTTATTCACTTCCATTCTGTTTTGTGTGCTTTTGTGGCATTTTTCTATCTGCTGGTGTTTCCTCAAGATGCAGTGCGTTTGGGCTTTCAGGGCCACCATAGACTAAGCCTAAAAGTTACTTTAGTCCAGAGAGGAATTTAGCCACAACTTGAATGTATGGACGTCTTTGGCGCGCCATCACAGAAGTGTCACTGTTTCATTCTTTGTAAAGTCACACCAGGCTGCCAGCTTCGCTAGTGTCCGCCAGTTTGGTCCACCATAATCTTGTTGTCAAGGTCTTCTGCAGCATTTTGTTAACCGGTCGAGAAGCCGGTGACATGAAACAAAATCCATATGTGTCTCTCTACCCTTTACCCGAGCCACAGACTTTTCCATACAGTGCCACTGTGCAGACTGGACAGTGTGGGGACCAATATACTGCACAATAACCAGAGAAGACAGGGAGGGGGGTGCAGAACCTCAGGGAGAGCTGATTTGGGATTCATTTGGATGATGAACTGTACCTCCAAAAACTTTCACCTGCTATTTTAGCAAAACATATTTGGACTTTTAGACACTCAGAGGACTGAGTTATGTTTTTTACAACATGTCTTCATTTCTGCTATATCATCAGTAATATCTGTTCTTCAGGTAGTAAGTTAGTTTCAAAGACCTAGGAGGTGGAAAGTTTTTGCTAAAAACACTGAACCATGCCAGTTTCTTCAGTCATTCACGTCATTTATATTAATTAAGAGTTAATGCATCTGAGAAGCTCTCAAGAGGGCCTCTTGACAAACATGTTGCATCAAAATAACACAGAGAGGCTTCTCTAGTAATTTGAACTCAAACGTAAAGAAGGCTCACTGTTCTGTTTGTATTTTGAAAGATCAATGTGGGTGAAAGAACTTTGCTTTGTGTATCGTATCCTAGCGAGCCGTGTGAACGAAGCACTAATGTTCTTCTGACTCATTTTTGGAGGTGACTAAGCAGCTTCAAGTGCATTACAGTCCCCTGTAAGGTGCAGTAGGATGGATCTGATTTGCATTTAGCCAATGAATACAAAAACACACATTCCGTTTATACCCAAAACACCGACTTTAAGTAATTTGATTACATGTATTCCTTCCAGTGTAATTTGATTACATAAGGAGGAGGGAGTATAATGTAAAATGTTAAATTTAATCAAGTCTAGTCAGATGAAATCTGCCTGATTGGCATATATTCAGTTTATACTAAGCATATCTTCCTTAATAATTAATTATCTGAATAAGGAAATACATATTCGATTTTATATATTTCAGTTGCATTTTACTCAAAATGACTGCTTCTTTTATGAGGTCGAATCTTTTTGGGTGTAGAAGTGGAAATGAGAACTGATTCAATCAAAAGCACGCATTCCTTTCCGATTTGCCTTCAACTAATCTTCCTAACCTGCTGGTTTTGACTTCGTTGCATGTTAGGTGAGCACAGTGAGCTGAAATAATGGTCAAAATTACAGTTACAATTTACAACAGCCATTTCTAAAACAAACAAAACCAGAAATATCCTTTATTTATCATTCGGGCGGAATAAAAAGTCTCGAATGATTATTTCTCCGGTGCACCTAAAATGACTTGAACCAGTTTAGGAATGAGAATTACTAAATTATATGCGCTGTGTTCTCCCTAGCATTTATCTCTAATGTGCAAACTTTCTGAGCCGCTTTTCCCCAGAACACATGTATTAACAGTCGCCATATTTTCAGAGCAGTATCGTTTTAGGCAGACATTTTATAAGCAATTAGCATGCTATACCAATAAGTGACCCTTTGCACCGTTCTAATTATATGGTCTATTCCTCTGTCTTGATTGGCTCCAGGTGTCTCATCTCTGCTGATTCAAAGCTTTGCTTTGGCTGATTGGTCAAAATCAAAGTGATGATTCTCCTGATTTGTCTTATTTCAGAGTTCTGGAGTGCTGTGCCGACTAAACCACTTGACAGAGCTGATTATCCCACCTCCTGAGCCCGGCAAATTGGTTCAATCAAAAGCGTGATTAGTTGAATCAGTTGTTTTAAATAGAATAAAAGCCTGAAGTCTCCACAGCACTGCGTGGCTCTTTTTTTCACTCTTTTAGCCAGCTTAGGTGCACCAACAGAGGAAAGCGGTCCATTTATCACATCTTCCCCTGAATGAGCCTCGATACTTAGGACAGTGAAGCTCCACTTAAAGGACGGGCACAGATACCTTAGTATCTAGTTAATGTATGTAGCTCAAAGATGCAGAGTAAAGGTCATGACCTCTGGCCTCTGACCCTAAACAGATCAACCCTCACTGGTTCTGCACCCACCTTCCCCCCGTGACTTCATTGCTCCTGCACGATGTTGATACAATTCCACAATTGCGTGCTGAACAAAGTGTATTTATTTCTGTTGTACTTTTTCTTTTTGTAAATTTGAATAAAAAAGGAACTATTTCAAACAGATGAGTCAGACCTGCTCTGTGCTCCTTTCTGCACTTTCCAGAATTTCGGGATAATCAGACTTCTGTTGATGGGTGTGCCTTCTGTTTGTGTGTGTATGTGGTGTTTGTATATGTTTGTGTGTGTGTGCGTAAAAGTGTGTCTAAGGGAGAACGAGACAGAAGGAGAGAGCTATTGAGAGACGAGCTGTGCAGTGCATACAAATGTGTGCACACCTTGTGAGCATGTGTCTTGTTGTGAGTAGGTGGGTGTGCCTTGTCAAATTGGCCCCTTGAAATTTCCAAACCACAGACAATGTGTGTGCGTGTGTGTGTTTTTTTTTCTGGGGATACGTGTGCGTCTGACTGCAGGATGAAGGAACACCTTGTCTGGTTTGATCCACCCCGATGGGGGGATGTGAGGTCAGTAATAGAGGACAGACGGAGAGTTCTGCAGAGTAATCACACTATCAGACAGAGGGGGAGAGTTCTCTGTTTGTTGGTGAAAGGAAAGAGAGAAAAAAAAGCGCATTTTGAACTCAGGAGCTGTAGCAAATAGAGCAGACCTGATAGCTGCGACCAAATAATGCGGGCCCCTTAGCCAACCTTTGCAGCTCTTCTGAATTCTGCGTTTGTCCTGCTGAATGATGGATCGGGGAGATGTGCGCCATTGCCGTGTGACTGAATTGCTGGTTAAAAAGATTTATTACAATAATCAAATATGAAGGAGGGGATTATTTCTACATGATGGTTTAGAGAATGATCGTGTTAGCCGGGTCCTCGCTTGATTACAATGATAATACCCGCCTCAAGTCAGGAAAGGGAGAGAAGCAGAGGGAGAGAGAAGGGATGGAGCGAACCATATTAACGGTTAATATGCAAGTCTGTTGCATTACATAAAATTGCATTTATGATTGGGTTAGAGATTATTCCGCTGCCTGCTAAAGAAAAAGTCCTTGCCTTCCTTCCCATAATTATGAGACTCACAAGGCTGACTCGCTCCCTGCGGAAGCAGCACCCTGTATCTAAAGAGGATGTGAAATCAGTTGGAGGCAAAACAGAGCTTTGACTCGCTTTAACCCCCCTCCACAAAACTGATAAAACACATCAACATGTAACTAACACAGCACCCTTATCGATTTACAAGTCCTATATAAATATATATCAGTCTCCCTCCAGCATCAACACCGCAATGCAGTATGCTAGGTGAGATGCACTGTCATTGCACTGTCAATAATTACAGCATGCATAATTGATCATGGCATAATAGCAGAGCTGGAGATAAAATGGACCCTGTTAAAGGCATACACCTGGGAACCACTAAGCACTGTATGTGCTGGAGTGGTGCAAACTCAAAGTGCTGCATGATTGCGTCACAAAACTCACAAGTTAGTGTGTGCTGGTGTGTGTAGTCAAGTACATTGAGATTCCTCATTCTGTTTGAACCTTACTGACACTCACAATCCCTCTGGCTATTCAGCACAGTGTGCACGCTTGTGTGTGTGCATGCACGCTTGTGTGTGTATGTGTGCACGCGCTTCTGCACTTGTGCATCTTTGCATTTCAAGTGTGCTTTAAAAGGCAGCATCCAGAGTGCAAGAGACTGCAGAGTCTTTCGACAAGGCAGTGCAACTTTTTGGACTCGACAACACATTACCCTGCAGTTAAATGTCTAACAAGTAGCTTTTAACTCCACCTGTCCCTCCGTTTTTCTTTTTTTATGAGTGCGTGCGCGCGTTTCTTTTTCCCCTCCTGCTCTCGTTGCTCATCCGTTCTGCTCGGAACGCTCACAGAGTTCAGTGGCTCATTTGAAGTGGAAAATTAAATCTTCATTAACAATCTTAATTAGAGTTCGATCTCTCCATAGTGAGGCGACAGAGAATCTATAGTGCAACGCGGGAAAGACCTGGAGCTAGAGTTGGTTTCAGTAATGCAGTGGCGGTGGGGAGGATTGAGGGGTGCTTTTGTGGGGGGTAATTAGTGAATGGGAACTTCAGGGTAAATTACGCGAGAGGTATTTACACTTTACAGGAGGGGTGGATGGATAATTAAAGCGACCTGCTGGTTGATGGTGGACAGTGCGATGATAGTCCCAAATGTGTGCTGTGGTAAGGGTGCAGTTCTTGATTCTGCAAAGCTGGTGAACTAGCACTCAATAGCACTTGGAGGCTTGGAGGCAGAGGGGTATAGGGAGGGCACTGTTAGTCAGAAATCTTCAATTGAAATTTGTCTTGTCTTGTTTTTTGGTGACATGCTGTAACTTGAGGTGGCATAATCCCTTATCATGCTTCCATAAGCAGGAGAGCAT